TTGAGCTCCCTAAGTCCTAAACCCTAAGCCCTAAACCCTAAACCCCAAAAAACCCTAAACCCTAGGACTCTTCAAAGCTGCCATGCAGGGCATCTGGGGCGGCGGCTCCTCTGTTCCGCGGCACATCAGGTGCCTTGTAGGGGCTCAGAGGGGCCTCTCACTCCCGGTGAGAGCAGCATGAACCCTACGCAAATCCCAAAGCCTCTACAGAGGGTTTAGGATAGTTTAGGGTTTAGGGTTTAGGGTTTAGAGGGTTTAGGATAGTTTAGGGTTCTGTGATACCCTTCACCCACGAAACCTGTAAGTCCATGACAGCTCCAGGGTCACCTAACACTCAAGAAGGAATCACTACAGACACGCTTTGCAACCCCAAAACAGAGCCCTGAACACCAACGAGCAAGCCTGGGAAAACCGCTACAAGAATCCTCATGCAATGAAGACCCTTTAACTAGACTTGACGAACACATCTTAACCGAACCTTGTAAAAGGTGCTAGGAGAAACCTTGAGGAAGTCCTTGCATCCTTCAAAAGCACTTGGAGGAACCTTTATGAACACCCGTATACCCTTGCAGCAAGCCCTTTGCAGGAACCCCGAATTACCCTGGGCCACCAAAACTTGTTGCAGGCGCACCGGCGCCCAGGGGCCCGATTTCCTTGGTCACCGCCCGCTGCCCGAGCATCAGCATCGGGAGCGATGCGCTTCGTGTGTGCGGGGTTTTGAGGAGATGAGGGGTTTGTAGGGGTTTTAGCAGTGTTAGGGGTGGTAGGGATGCTGGGACGGTCCGGCAATTTTGGGGGGCAGGGCTTGGAGGGGGGTGAGCAAGCCAAGGCATTTTGGAGTTGCGGTGCTTTTTCCTGGGTTTCGGAAAACGAGGTGTCCCTTGTTCAGAAGTCTTCAACAGAAAGCTGCAATGTCAGGGCTCGGTTCTCGCATGTGTTCGACATTCCCACGCCGAAGGAGCAGTTGGCGAGCGAGGTGGAGGACCTTGACGAGGACCCAGCGGCCAGCTGTCGCACGCGAGCAAATCTTCCTGAGCTGCTCCGGTGCATGCTACAGGATATTGATAGTATATTTAGTTTGTATCATGGTACAGAATATTCGGCTATGTGTAGTGCTGCCCTCCAAAGCCCCAGACTCTACGATCTCGGGGTTGCGACTGCAGGAGAATCACGCGATCCGAAGCCTCACAAGTTGGGATCGCCAGCGGCGAACGTCATGCGCGCTCATGGGGTCCCTGTGGCCACCCAGCGCATCGCGAGCATGTCAGTCACGTCACATCCACGCGCCTCTTCCTCCGGCGAATTCAATTCGAGTTGGTCCCCTAAATCCTAAGTCCTAAACCCGAAACCCGTGTTGTGGATTGGAAAGCAGGTGCTCAAACAAAAACCCTGAACCCGAAACCCTAAACCTCACCAAGCAAACCCTTGCACTCGCTTCGTCGTCGCGACGACCTCCGAGAGCGGAAGCCTGCTCTCTCCAAACCCTAGACTCAAATTAGGCCCTTAAGCCCGAACCCTACAACCGAGGCTTAAAAAAGACCCGGAGCCCTAAACCCTAAACCCTCTTCCAAAGCCCTAACTATAATTAGAATTGGGTTTTGGGGGCTCCTTATAAGATTTATAGCATAATAGCCCCCCAAACCCCTAAACCCTAAACCCTAAACCCTAAACCTTTTATTTATAGCATAATAGCCCAAACCTTATTCTAATTGTTACAAACCCAAAAGCCTGCAGGATGCCATGGACTCGCAAGACCGCCTTGCCTTGGGGACCCGGGCGGAGCTTCCCAGCCGCCTCCTGGCGCTGTGGCTTCGGGTTGAGGGGCCTTTGAGGTGTGGGGGTTTAGGGTTTAGGGTCAATCCGACCCATGCTGAAAGAGGGTTCAGGGTTTAGGGGTTTAGGGGTTTAGGGGTTTAGGGGTTTAGAGTTTAGGGTTCAGGGTTTAGGGTTCAGGGTTTAGAGTTCGCGGAGGGCGGCTCATGGCTCTTGGAGGGTTCAGGGATGTTGGTCGTTCTGTTTAGGACATGGGGCTACCCTAAGGGGCTTCGGTAGAATTCATTTTGTCTGGAAGGCCATTTTGGGACGATGCGCCCCTTTTTTTGCATGTATGAAAGACGTAGAGTTGGTTTCTGTCAGAGAATGGGACTCACTGCTGCTCTGCTCTTAGGTGACAGTTGCTGGCCAGCTGCCTGGCCGCAGCTGTGGGTTGGAGAGGGCGAGGTGCGTGGGACAGCATTGCTAGATTCTAGATGTTAGATCTTGTGCCCTAAGACCTTGACCCCCCGGAACCCCTGCATAAGTCCGGAGACACGGCATGTCGCGTAGCTTCGTAGCTTCTGTGTCTAGTGTAGAATCCTCAGGTCTGGCCACCTGAACGCTTTGTGCTTCATCCTCAAAGCAGTGACGCGCCTAAGGAGTTTCGGGATCTGGCCGTGTACCGCCGGCTGCCGCGGCCGCGGCTGGGCTCGCGATCCTGGGTTGGACCCCAAGTGCACTCTCTGCGCAGTCGCGTATCTTTCAAGCTTGCTGCTTACTAGGGCTACTAGGGCATGTCACGTGCTGCTTTTGGAGCATGCCGAGTCGGTGAAGGACCGAAGAAGCCTGGGAGGGGTTCGCGGGTCGGGACATTGCCGAGGTGCGAACCCACAGCCGGCGCTTCATCAAGGTCATGCTCCCAGTGGAAAGTTTCTGCATCGGAATGGTTAAATTTGGGGTAGGGATCGAAGGAGATCTCGGAGAGCCTCACCTGGCCAACAACGAAGCAGAACAGGCTTGACCGTCCTTGCTCCTCGAGATTCCTGATACAGTCTTCAGGCCACCTTCAATGACGTCGTCGATTTTCGCGACTTGCCAAGACTTTGACGCCACTTCTTTGTTGCTTGGAACCTGACCCTGCAAAGAGTTTCCCAACACCTTGCCGCCCGCAAGAAATAAACAGGACCCCGGAAGTTGTAATTTGCCGATGGCCCTGCAGCAATTCCCAGCAGTAGAGACCCCACGGCTTCCACAGAGGCCAATCCGGGCCAGGCAAGCCAGACCGAGAAAAGAAGGATCCCCACCACGCGTAGGAAAACCCAGTGCTCTGCCACAGCCAGGAAAGATGGTCCCCCACACGACTACGAAAAGCAGCAAATCCGCCTTTAACTTTCTGAACACGCATCCTTGACCTAACAGCCTAACAGGTGACTGCACGTCCTTGAATGCCGGCCGCTTGTTGTGCATGTCCCTGGCCTACACCGAAGAAGGCGCGGCAGGGCGAGGGCTCAAGGAGACCTTGATCCACCAGACCCCAACTACCCCTCGTTCCACCTGAGGCCTTCACATGTAGAAGCCAGACTTAAGGGCTCGCAGTCAGAAGGGCACCCTCGTGTTTGCCAGGGGTCACCGAATGGCTGCAGCCCATGATGGCGGCGCTGGTCAAGCCCCTCATCTTCTGACTCCGGACGTTGTTCAAGAGCCCTCCCTTAGCCTTCGCCGGCCCCACTCTGAACCTTAACCCGTTTTAGTCATCCTAACTCCTGAGCCATAAACCCTATCATCACCCCGCCTGAGTGGCCCCTAAACCCGCTTAGACCCATTTACCTCGTCTGCGGCGCCCTGT